AGCTGCATCTTCCTAACTCCAAGCCCAGTGCTCTAATAATTGCCCTATATAGCTTCTGCATAAAAACCTCTCATTTCTATAGTGTTTTAGGGTTTACAAATAATTTTCTTCACTACATCCCATGAGGTAAGAAGTGCAAGCATTATTATTCCCAGTTTTACAGAAGAGGAAGCAAAAGCTCTGAAGGATAAAGGCACCAGAATGGTGATGTCGTTAATATAGACAATTCCCCAATGAGGGAACTTCTTCTATCAATGCAGATCAGCACTTTCTCTGACAAGTCTGTGACTTGATTAGGATCCCACGTGATTGATGTCAGAAGCAGGACTTGAACCCAGGCTTCAAGCCCAGCTCCCTGTCCTTTTCACCTCATTTTTTTTTTTGGAGAGGCAATCATGGTTAAGTGACTTGCCCAGGTTATGCAGCTAGTACATATCTGAGGCTGGATTTGAGATCAAACAGTTTGACTCCAGGGCTAGCGCGCCATCTACTGTGCTACCATTAATTCATAAAAAGTCTGATCTGAACTCGGGTCTCCTGACTCCAACTCCAGTAGTCTTTCCACTGTACCTCAGGTTTTCAGTGGAGGTCATGGGAAGGGGAATGGGAGGTGGACTCAAAAGAGTAATTTTACGACATTTGTTAGCCCTGACTACTGAGATTGTAGTTCCCTCAGGTTAGAGGCTGTGTCTCTCCAAAGTCCATAAAGACACAGGAAGCTTAGAGACTTGGGGACTTGTTGAAAATATATATAGAAATTATATATATTATATATCATATATATTATTATATTATTTGTATTATAATATATATTATATATAGTATAAAAATTAGTGTTGGGATTAGAACTCGTGCCCTGGGTCCTGTTTCCTTATCCCAAGTTCTCCTAAACTGCCTGCCTTTTCGTTATAGTAAACCAGAGGTCTTTCCATCCCTCTTTCCTCCCTCCCTTCTTTGATTCATTGTCAAGTCTGGCCTAAAGGCAGCCATGTCTTATCTGGCTCCCCCAGGGCTCAGGATGGGAGCCCTCAGGTTGGGAGTAGATCCTGGGTCAAAACTTCTTCCTACTAACTGTTTTAGGATTAGGCTGAGGAGGCCGAAGGAAGCAGCTGCTATAAGCCTGGAATAGACTATTCCAGTGAATGGTGGTGGAATGGACTGGGTAGAGTCCAAAGGATATGCTTCACAGCTGGACTCAACCAAAGTCTCTATTCATTCTCTCTCTCTCTCTCTCTCTCTCTCTCTCTCTCTCTCTCTCTCTCTCTCTCTCTCTCTCTCAACATCTGGAAAAGTTCAGAAGTGTTTGTCTGACTGAAGGAGGCCCCTTGGGGGAAAGGGTTCAAAGTATGACATCACTGCAGCGTGGCCCAGCTTCCTTTGCAGAAAGAGAAAAGGTCTAGATTGAGCCAAAAGAGATTCCCAGGAACCAAGAAGGGACTGGGGTGGAGGTGGGAGGGTGGAGAAGGGCTGCCTTTTCAAATTCATGTTTTCTAGACAAGATTGGTCAGACTTCTATAGAGAAAGAAGGGACTGAGGAGTGGGGCAGCAGCTTGCTGACCATTTACCAGCTGCCTCCCAATCTGGAAGCAGTGGTTTCCTTTTTTATATACTTCATGACCTTGACTCCAGCCCCACAAAGGATGACAGCAGGGCAGCCAGATCTCAAGGGCTTCAGTTCCAACCTGGACCCCTTGCCACCAACTCTCCAAGGGACAAAGTTTGTAGCATCAATCCCATTGCCACTTATTCCAAGGAAATGGAGCATTACCAGCATCATTCAACAGGCAAGACCTATAGCTTTCCACTGACCTAAGTCCTTCCCATCATATGCCTCAGTTTTTTCACCAATAAAATTAGGATATTTCTTCCCTAAATTAATTCAAGGCTTGTTGTGAGGATAAATTTTAAAGGGGTTAAAGCTTTTATTTTTTAAAGTAAAAAAAAAACACAAAATACACCAACTAAATGAAAGTAGGTGTTTTTAATTGTACTTTTTTTTCCTTTTGAGAATGGGTCTACCTACCTTGGTCAGGCAGAAAGTGCATTGACGTGATCCCAGTGACTTGCTCTGTTTCTGACCTGAGCCACTAACCCCTCCTCAGGCAGCCTGCCAGCTCCCTGCCCCTTGGAGTTCAGTATATTGGTACCATACCTAGTGTGGACACTAGATTGGCTCTAGCCCACTGTAGCTCAGAACTCCTGAGCTCAAGTAATCCACCAGCCTTAGCCTCCCCTCATAGCAGGGATTATGGGTATCACAAATGGCCTTTTTAGAATTTCTTCTATACTTCAAAACAGCTGTGATTCCAGCAGTATGGGCCTTCCCTCAACACGGAAAGAGCCCTGGACTTGGAATTACAGGATCCTGGATCTGCTATTTACTTTATGTATGTCACTTTATTTGTCTGGTCCTCAGTTTTCCTCATCTGTAAAATGAGGGGGTTTGACCTGTCCTTTCCAGTTCTGAATCCTGTGATCCCAAATGGGACGCAACCGTTCTGTACATTATTAGATGGTATTCATGAGTTGCTCCCATTCAAACACATGCCACACACAAATTAGCAACCCACCAAAAGGTAGTGAGTTCCAATGAACATAACTAAACTGTTTTTCTAGATAGCAGATAATATGCAGCCCATTGCTTCCCATACTTGAAGTCTTTCTACCTTGAGAGGACCCAGCTGAACTCATCCTCTATTAGCATAGCTTCTAAGAATCCAGGGTCTCCTCCATGCCCAGAGGGGGCAAGAGAGGGAAACTTCAGAGGAGGATTTGCTATAATATTAGGAAATATTATTTCCATCCTAATGATTATTATTATCTAATCAATAGGTAACAGTATCTGTGACAGTCGGTTAATAAGAGTCACCCAGGCTCTGATATGACATTGTGAGAAATATGTCTAAGATGGGAGCAGTAGAGTCATAGGAGGTAGTCTCTGTTCTCTGGGTTGTGTGTTCAAATCCAGCATTGTCTAGGAATAAGATAGGCTGGTAATATCAGCAAGTCTATTTTGGGGGAGTGAGGGGGAAAGGGTTGTAGGAGGCGGCTGTCACAGTGTAGAGAAAGCAGGAACTGGACAAGGTAAGGGGAGAGTTTCGGGGATGGAGAAATCACTTCGATGTTGTGGACTGCAATTTCTTCATCTGTAAAATAAGGGAGTTGAACTATATCTCTAACATCCCATCCGGCTGTAACATGCTATGATTTTTTTATTTCTGCAGAGGCAGAATGGGCGATTCCTCTGAGCTAAGCCTGGGCAGTTGGGGGTGGGGCAGGGAAGTAGAGACTCCCTCAAGCTCTGGTTTCATCGTCTGTAAATAAAGATCTCATCATTTCTTTCTAGGCAGGTGTTATAAAGCTTAATTCCAGCCTTTGAATTACTCTGAGATCCATGTTGAGATGAGCCTAGATCTCAGCAAGTGCTCTGTGTTGGCTGGCTAGGACAGCACAGAGAGTCAGGCTCAGGTGGTGATCTGGGACTCTGGGATTCCCCGTTGGCCTTGAATCCTTCTTCAAGTTTCTCTGCCGTTGGCCTCTAAGGTCCTAAGAGCTCCTTGACACATACTTTCCTCCTCCTCACTACCTGTGCTAGGGAGACAGAATATCCTTAGAAAATAACTAAGGCCCAGAAAAGTTATTAGATCGGTTTCCTCTGTGCTTCCTGGCTCATGGGGGTAAGAGGTGGGAATTTTTAGGGCTGTGTGCCCTGAAGGGAAAGAGAATGGATTTAGAGTCTGAAAAAAGGAAAGATCAGAAAAGGAGGGCTGGCGAGGGGAGAGGTAGATAGAGGGCTAAGGATTATGGAAACTGTATATAATGTATGAGCCCAGAGATCAGATGAATTCATTTCAATTCATCAAACCCTAATTATCTGCTATGTGCGAGGCCCTTAACTAGGCACTGGAGATACAGAGACAAAAAGGGGGGGAAGTCTCTGATCCCAGGGAGCCCATATTCTGCTGGGGAAATAGAAAACAGATAAGGAAATACAAATTAATTTAAGAAGGAAGAAAACATGGGGTGGGGAAAGATCAGGGAAAGGCTCCAAGGTACTGGTAACAGTAGCTGTCTTAGAAAAAAAAAAGATGCAGATTAGCCCCAAATAAGAGGTATGAGAAGAAACCCTTCCCCTCCCCCACCAACTCCTTTGCAGAGGTGGGAGGCTATGGTATGAAACATCATATATGTTTTCAGATTTTTTCAATATATTGATCAGTTTTGCTGATTTTTTTTCCCTCTCCTTTGGGCAGTTGGGGTTTTCACCTCATTTTTTTTTTGGAGAGGCAATCATGGTTAAGTGACTTGCCCAGGATCACACAGCTAGCTAGTGTCAAGTGTTTGGTTTGAGGTCGGATTTGAACTCAGGTCCTCCTGACTTTAGGGCCAGTGCTCTATGCACTATGCCACCTAGCTGCCCCTACCTTTTTCTTTTTAAAAATAGTCCTTTTTATATTGTGTTTTCTAGGAGAGAGAGGAAGGGATGCAGGTGAAAATTTTTGTGATATGAAAACAAAAGATCAGTAAAAAATATTTAAAGAAAAAAGCACAGATTCTGAGGGGTTGAGATTCACCAACTTGGGCATTTTTCTTAGTGGAGAATTTTGATGAGATGTCCTCTCAGGTCTCCTGGGAGCACAGGCTCTGGATTCAGAGGATTTGCATTTAAATCCTGCCTCTGACACCACCTGTGTGACCTGGGCCTCAGTTTCCTGGTTTGTGAAATGAAAGGATTGGACTGGATGTTTTGGCTTTAGATCTCTGATCCTATGAGCTAATAGCCTAGCATCCTTTCACTTACAACTTTCTGTGATTCTTTGGAATGAGATAGGAGAGTCAGATGCATTAGAAACAGTCCGGGGAGAAGTTTAATGGAGATGGTTACATGCTGACTCATGCATGGAGATTAGGGCATTAGATGGAGGGATGCTGCTGGTCCACAGAAGGCTAGATCAGCTTCCTTGAAGTATGGAGATTCTAACTTCTGATTCTCCCCAAAGCCCAAGAAGGAGCAGCAGATGAAAGTGATAACCTCCAGGAAACGACAGTGCTGCCAGAAAATGACTTCAATCTTACCGTTTCTACATGGAAAGGAACAACTAAAGAAACCCCTAGGAATACCAACCCCAGTCCAAGCCCTAGCCTTGGCCCCAGCCTTGGCCCCAGCTCCAGCCCTAGTCCTAGTTTCACTTCCCTGAAGAGCAGCCCAGCTCCAGGGAGTACACAGTCAACCACACCTAACCCAGGTAAGGACATCTGACCTGCTGGCAACCCCTCTAATGCTTATGCAAATCCCTTAGAAGAGAGCTACCCCCTTCACTCTTCTGTACCATTCCAGGCTAAATGGATTCATCTAGACCAGTTACAGAGAACTGGACTGTCTCCATGCTGGTTTGGGAATTATAGGCCCTTATATTAGGAGTATTAGACACTAACCTTGGCCGAATGTACCCACAACATTCCTGAGTGTACCCAAAACCAGATCAACTAATAAATAAACACTTATTAAGGGTCTACTGTGTGCCAGGCACTGTGCTAAGCACTGGGGATACAAAAAGAGACAAAAGGCAGTCCTGGCCTCAAGGAGCTTACACTCTAATGGCTTAAAATGTAATTAGGAAATATTTAACAAAATTAATAAAAAAATATAGTAAGGGGAGAGAGGGAAGCATTTATATGGCACATAGCTAAGTACATTACAAATATTCTTTCATTTGTATTATGAACAACAGCCTGTAAGTAGGTGCTGTTATTTTACAAGGTGAATAATGGGTAAGTGCCTATTTTACAGTTGTGGAGACTAAGGCAAACAGTTTAAGTGACTTGTCCAAGGTCACCCAGCTAATGTCTGAGGGTGAATCTGATTTCAGGTCTTCCTGACTCCAGGCCCAGCACTATCCACTACACTACCTAGTTTTTTTGATAAAACATAGATAATATTAATATATAGTTTTCTGAGTTCAGGGATCCTTAGGTATGGTTTAGTAGGCCCTGTTTCTATTTTAGTTCGACATCATTATCTTAGATCATGTAGACAGTAGGGATTTAGGATGTCCCAAAGTGAATCATTAATCTGGGCTATCCCTGAACACTCCTGGAGACCAGGAGGAGAACCAATAAGTCAAGTACATTCAGAGAATCAGGAGGAGAATCAATAAGTCAAGTACAAATGACCTTTTATCCCAAACAGTTTAGTTTTGCAGTGGGGATCTGACCTGGACTAGTTTGGATGCACATGGTCATGCTTGGTCCAGGGGCCTTGGTACCTTAAAATGACCTTGGTGGTCACCAGTACGATTTAGGTTGAAAATCTCAAGGATATTCCAAGAAATCCTTTAGATTGTACCTAAAAGTACTGAGATGGTTTTGGGGCCAGTGTAGCCCCTAAAAAAGAAGAGTTGAGGACAAGGAGGGAATAATTGTCACTAGATGTCACTCCTTATGCTCCCTGCCCTTTTGATCAGCATTATATTTTGAGGATCATAATCAGAGTTTTTCTGTGTGTGTGTGTGTGTGTGTGTGTGTGTGTGTGTATCTGTGTGTCCATGTCTGTTCATATGTCTTAATCCATGCAAGAGACCTCAGAGCCTGAAACTCAGAGTCCCATATCTACCTCTGGAGTCAGCCTAACGTCTGGAGCTGTGAACACCTCTGCCCAAAATGAGATCCTTCCCGCCACCATGGTGCCCACCAACCTGACAACAGCCAATTCATCTTCTCCAGAGGCGACAGTAACGACCAGCATGTCTGAGACCACATCAAGTCCACTCTCCAATGGTACCAACACTACAACCATTTCTACAGCACCATTGCTGACTAGTATGGTTCCGGTTATAATTGAGGTAGGTGAAATCAGTCAATCCATAATCAATCCATCCATCAATCAACAAGCATTTATTAATTGTTTACTATGTGCCGGGTGCTGAAGTAATCCGTGGGGATACAAAGACAAAAGTAAAAAAGGAAGCACTGTCAGAAAGCTTACATTTTAATGGGGAAAACGTGTACATAATAAAGAATGTCCAAAAGTCTTATTGTAGCTTTGAGCTATTAATTAAATTTAATTAATTAATGTAAAAGCTATTATCAGGTATTGAAGCTTAAAGCTGCACTAAGACTTTTGGGACACACAATATATACAAAATGAATACAAAGTCACTTGTGGGGGAGAGTTCACTAGCACCTGAATGGGTGGGGATGGGGTAGAACCAGGAAAAGCTTCATGAAGAAGGTGGCATTTAAGCTGAATCTTGAAGGAAATTAGGATTTCGCAGAGGTGGAGGAGAGGAGGGAGTGAATTCTAAGTATGCAATTAATGATCATGAGTACTTTCTATGTACTGAGTGTTGTGTTAGGTGCTGAGAATACAAAGACAAAAACCAATCAGTCCCTAGATTTAAAGAAAGGGAGGCCCAAGCCAGATAGGGAAGGGCTAAACCAGAAGAACCGCCTTCATGTTTGATCCTAGAGGTAAGAGGGAGCCATTAAAGGTTCTTGACAGGCATGGTCAGACCTATGCTTTAGAAACCTCATTTTGGCATTTGGGTTTTTGAAGGTGAGAGATTATATACAGAGAGACTAATTCAGAGGCTACAGGTCCAGAAAGATGTGATAGGAGCCTGAACTAGCTTTGGTTGTGGTGTGAGAGAAGAAAAGGAGGTATGGTGGACGTAGAATTAAGAACACTTGGCACCTGATTAGATTGGGGGGGGGGTCAGGGAGAGTGAAGAATCAACAAGGATTTATTTATTTAGTGGATTTATTTAGTGCCTACTGTGTGCCAGGCACTTTGCTAAGTCCTGGGGATATGATGACAAAACTGAGACCATCTCTGCCCTTGTTCTACTGGGTAGCTGAACCAGGAGTTAGGAGAGATGTTAGGAAATACAAGAAAGATAGAGTTGCTAGGAGAGAAAACAGGGGGATATGCACACAGCATGGTTCTGACCCAGTCCGTTTAGAAGTCACTGTCTAACAGCGTTGTGTTAGAGGCTTGAGGATCAGGCTGTATTTCTGGACAATGGAACCCAGAATTGCCTTGTTTGGAGAAGAGACAAAAACATCCTTTTTAGAGTTCCATTTGGCCCAGTTAATATGATGGACTTTAGGCATTATGTAGTTCAAATCCTTTATCTTTCAGATGAAACAACTGAGAAGAAATTTTTTTCCCAAGGTGACCCTTATAGTTAGTGGCAGAATTGGAATTTTAACTATGATCCTTCGGCTACAAGTCCATCCTTTTAAGCTATAAGCTATGCTGTGCAGTACCATGGCTGCTCCCGTTGGTTGTCCAGAAGATCAAGGGGCTCAGTGGAAAATATCCCCAGTGAACCTGACCACCTCCTTTTCGCTTTCATAGATCTCAAAGCCATCATGGGAGCTTTTGCCCTCATGCCCCTGTCAGGCTGGGATGTACCTCTTTGCTGATGTACATGGGCAGACTTGAGGCTCAGGGTTAAGTGACTTGCCTCATCACACAGCAGAACAAGGTATAAAACCCACTCTCCCAACCCCCTTTGCCATGAGCTCTAAGCTTCTTCCAGCTGTAAGGTTCTGCTATTTCTGCTTTGGGAAGTCAATGGAAGCTCCGTAAGAGGTTTCCTCAGGCTAATTCACAGGTCAGCAGACTGCCCAGAACCAGTGGTATTCTTTCTGGCCTAGGCCAAGTTGTAGTAGAGACAGGTGCTGATGGGAACAGGGCTGATTTGGGGGGATAAGCTCAGTTTGATCTCCAGCTTCAGAGTCTGTGGCTGTCAACAGGAAGGGGATAACTCTTGAAGGGTTAAGAAGCCTTGCATGGTGGGAGAGAATTTAATAAATGCTTGTTGATTGGTTGATTGATTGAGAACTAGAACAGGAATCCAAGAAGTTGTTGAAGAGAGGTATAGTAGCTTTCATCCCTCTTGGTTGTGGGACGGGATCATCAGGGGCTCCAATATGCAAAGATACCACTTGGCTAAAGATGGCAGTTGTTTGCCATATAATTCCTTGCTTTCAGGCCTATACCAGTAGAGCTACCCTCGATTATCTGAAGGGAAATGGGGGCAGGGAACAATGGAATAGAGAGTAACAGATAATCAAAATTTATGGATAATTCAAAAATAAATTTTAATTTAAAGATTCACTTCTGTTGGATTTCTGAAGAGGAAAAGACATCACCAGGAACCAAATTGGGCAAAGGAGGAGGGCGGTGTTGAAGATGGATGGGTGAGGGGGAGGAGGGAAGAAGTCATGGTCGTACTGACTTATTTTGTGGGGGTTTTGCTCCCTAGAAACACATCAAATGCTTAAAAATCAAACAAGTACAAGCATTGAAGGGCATCTGCTTGGAGCTGAACGAGACCTACAGTTGTGTAAGTCAAACCCTTTCCCAGTCTCCCCTCAATCCTCCACCATATACAAAGGCTGGACCCTTTGCCGCCGTGAGCATTCTCAAGGCAGAAGGTTACACTGGGGTCTTAGGCACTGGAGGACGGGTCAGACTGGTCTGTCGTGGATTCCACAGTGGTTTCTGAGGCTTTGGGCTTAGGCTGTGTAGGGTTGCCATCTGGTGGGAAGACAACAGCAGACACAATTTCCACTTTGATTCATTTGTTATAATTCCTTCCATCCTTGAGCAGTTCACCTCCCTAAAACCTCAAAGATACCTTTGCATCCAGAAAAACAGTTAATGATCAGAGAATTTAGGGAGGCAACAACTCTAACAGAAAGGATACATGGATTGGGAATCAAGGGATCTGGCTTCTGGTCCCAGCCAGGTCCAGCATCTCGGTAGCTAAGCCACTGATTTGCTAGCTGGTTCCATTAACCAGTTAACTGGTTAAAATAAGATCCTAGATATGGCCAACCCATTGGGAAAGGTCAATGTATTATATACCAAGGTTAGCTATTGTTAGTTTTCCCAAAGCCCTGTGATAACATCACATTTCAGTTGTGTTGAAAGATTTACAAAGTACTTTTCCTGACACTAACCCTTGGAGTTAGGTAGGTAGTAAACATATTGCCATGCTTATTTAGCTGAGAAAATTGAGAAAAGAGAGGTTTAAGTGATTTGCCCCTAGGCTGCTTAATTCTCAGAGCTGAGAGTAGACCTTGAGTCTTCCCACTCCAAAGCCAGCAGCCTTCCATATGCTCCATGCTGCCCCTCTCACACCAGATTTCCTTAATGGTAGTTATCAATCAGTCATTCAGTCAGCAAGCTCACATTAAATGCCTTCTATGTGCCAAGTTCCCTGCCTCAAGTAAAACAGTCTCTGATCTCAAGGAGCTTCCATGGAAGGGGAAGAGGGAAAGAATGGCCACGTGTACGTAGGGGCCATTTGGGTAAATACGCCTCTGGAATCGCACAGCTTGGCTGGTTTCCTCCTGCTTATTGTCCCACGATATCTGTCCAGGCCTCAGGAGAGGATGTTTATTTCAGGCATCCGGAAAATCATTGTGCTTTTGTTTAAGATCCACCTGCCCTGAGAGCCCAAGTATTAATTGTTGCTGGACTCAGTGGGTTGAGAAGCTGAATGCTGCTGCTCCCTCCGATGGGGGTCTAAAGGACAGCAGTAGAACAACTTAGTGTGGCTGGCAGAGTGTTCAGCCATTCGGGGTGCTCACTGTTGTGTTAAGGTCTAGGGAGGACACCAAAAACAAACTAAAAACCCCATACAAAATGCTTATTTACCCTGAAGAGAAGACAGAACAGTTGGATACAGAGTCATCTCTGCCTTCCAAGAGCTCACAGTCCAGCAGAGGGAGAGATAAGATAGACATTTGCACAGTTAACTATAATGATTAGAAGTTAAGCATGAGAAGCCTGGCCTCCCATCCTCTGCCACTGATGCTTCGTTGTGCTTAGGGAGGTGACCTGGAACTATAAAGTGAAGCTTCTGGAGCGACCAGCCAAGCTGGGAAGGTTCCAAGATCAGGTTAGAAGACCCTGGGCCACAGGTCTTTTTCTGAGGACCATCCTAGAGGCTCAGCTCTCCAAAGGTAGCCTCCTTCTTGTGATTTCTGACCACGCAATTCATAAGATGATAGATTGAGAGCTGAAAGCCACCTAATTCAGCCCCTTCAGTTAGGAAGGTGCTGTGTGTTCTGTATTGGCACTTCCTCATGTCAGAGGGAGTTCCATTTCTGGAACTAAAAGGGCTTTCCAGAAAAATCAGATGAGCCAGTCAATGCTGAAAATAATATTTTTTTCTCTCAGATACTCTCTGTACCAAAGTAAAGCAACACCACCCCTAGAGTTCACAGACTTTGAGAGAAGCCTGGCAGTGGGGAGAGGTGGTATTGAGAGGTCTAATGATTTGCCCAGGGTCACACCTCCAGAATAAGTTACGGGCTTGAATCCAGAGCCTTATAGATAGGAGTATGCTGGTAAATGTTTAATAACTGGCTTTCTAAAAATATATCCATAACATCTTTTAAATCTACATTATTATTTTTCTCCAGTATTTCTTAAAAGATAATCAACAAAACAATAAATCATGCAGTGATTTAGAATGTTTGTGGATTTCTGAAAACTGAACAATTGGGAGCTGGTTGGAGCGGGTTCCAGTGCACCCCTTCATTGAGATCTGAAGGCAGCTTTCTCTCCTCTCTGCCAAGCTGGATCTCTATTGAAAACAATAGGCTCTTTTATTTTGTATGTTTAAGGAAAGGCTAAATTGGGAACACTCAAAGGAGCAGTGGGGAGGGAGTGGAAAGTGACAACAAGGCAAGAGCACTGGGGTACCCCAACCACCCTGCTAGACCAGGGCTGGGAATGATACCCACAAAGCAAGACTGAGGAAAGGTCACGGATTCAGAGCTGGAAGTGACCCCCAACACTATCTAGTCCAACCCCTCCGTGTTCTAGAAGGAAACTGAGGCTGAGAAATGAAGTTTTTGCCATGTATGACGCAGGTAATAGTAATACCCGAGTCGTGCTAGAGACCCTTTGTCCACTCTGCCTCTAAACAGAGATGGGATGCAATAAAAAATGTCTCCAGGGAGCCGTAGGTACAATGCTCTCTGGGCGACTACAGGAGGAAGAAGTCCATTATGGTCTTGCTAAGAGACTCAGACCCAAGGACCTTGGCTACGGCACGTGGTCACATCAAGAAGTCTTTCTGAGACACCTGGACCTGGCGGCCCCTTTGGCAGCTCCTGGGGTCAGGGCAGTTTCCTTGGAGCAGAGCAGATCTCTAGGGAAGGGAAGGGAAGGGAAGGTCCCACCCAGATGCATCCCAATGGTTTTCCACCTCCGAGGTCACTTGCACCAATCAGGGGCTTTACAGAAGGGACAGAACAGAAGGGGGACACAGATAGGAGGAAGTAGTCATGGTCATTGGCAATTTATTGGACAGAGGAAGAATTGGCCTAAAAATAGAAGAGGTTTCTAAGCTACAACCCTGTACCAGTGAAAAGATTGATCTTAGGAAGAAGAATGAGAGACCTGCATATGATGGTACCAAGTACAATAAAAAAAAATCAGATGAGAGAGAAAGTACTTTAAGGCTGGGTGTGCTGGAGCCAGCTCTGATCGATCAGGATAGCCAGTTGTTAAATACTCAGTAGAAGCATTTTCACCTTGGAAAGAAATGCAGCAAATCTGCTCCTGTCTCTCATTTTCTTGTTTTGTTTTGTTTATTATCTAGACTTGTCTAAACGTAAGAAAGTGCTGGATGTCAATAATGTAGATTAAACTTAAGCGTGTTGTGTGTACATGCCCCCTGTCCCAGCCAGTTATATTTACCAGCCAGAAAGCCAGTTGTTGTATTTACCATCTCACCAATGGGGGCGGAGCGATTTGGGAAGATTTAGTAGAGGAGACAGTATTTAAATCAGGCCTTCAGTTGTATGTGACAGACACACATTTAGCATCTGTGTGTTGGGCACTGAGCTGCATCCTGGGAGTACAAAGATAAATGTCACATGGCTAATGATCAGTCTAAGATGGGGAGGAAGGAGGGTGAGGACAAGAACCCCAGTAATTCAGAACCAGTATTCCATGTGTAACCTCAGACAAGTCACTTAGTCTTACCGGGTCTCAAAAATGTTTTTGGCTTTGAATTTTCTTTTTTTAATTAAAATCTTATTTTATTTTCATCCCGCCTCCATTCCCTTGTTATTAAAAAAAAAAAAAAAGACAAACTCTTCTATACAGGCAATGTCCAAAAAACATATCTAGGTGGTATGCTGGATTAGAACACTGGAACAGGAGATCTGAGTTCAAATTCAGCCTCAGATGCTTATGAGTTGTGTCATCTTGGACAAAGCACTTAATCTCTTTCTGCTTTAGTTTCCTCAACTGTAAAATGAAGAAAATTATACTACCTACTAGTGTTGTTTTGAGTCAGTTGACAAGCATTTATTATATTCTTAATACGTGTCAGGCATTGTGCAAAGTGCTGGAAATACAAGCAGAAAGACAGTGGATACCCTCAAGAAGCTTATGTTCTAATGGAGGAAGACAACACATAAAAGGAATGGATTTTTTTCAGAACATAGTATATATACACACATGTGCATGTGTGTGTGTGTATATATGTGTGTGTGTGTGTGTATGTATATAATGGGTATCATTTCTTGCCTTCTCAATAGGTGAGGGGTGTGGTGGAGAGAAGGGAGAGAATATAGAATTAAAAATAAAAATAAAGTTTAAATTAAAAATAAAAAGGAATCTGGAAAAGAATTTGGCACATGGCCGCATTGTAGGGGGAGATAAAAGTATAATTATGATGAGGATAAAATGAGATAATATTTGTAAAGCTTCTTGCAAACCATAAAGCATTATGTAAATGCTAGCTATATTTTGTGATCTGCACTTTGAACTCATTACCTCTCTCACAGGAAGCCTGACTTTTAAAATTAGTTGGTTGGATTAGATGACATCTGAGATCCCTTGCTATCTAACTCCATGGTTTTATGATCCTGGACATTGTGATAGAAAGGAGAATGAAGGTAAATATAAAGAACGAGAAGACATTTAAAGAGAGGAGATAAATGTCAGGGAAGGCTTCCTGGAGGTGGTGGCATCTGACTTGAGTTTTGAAGAAAACGAGAGATGTCAGCAGCAAATGGAAGGCAGAGGAAAGAACACATATTTCAGATGTGGGAAATGACTCAAGTGCAGTCTGCGAGGTGAGAGGGTGAGAGGATGAGTTGGAGTGGCTCCAGTTTGTCTGAAATGTACCTGAAAGGGGAAAGGGAAGGGGCTAGTCTGGGTTAGCCTGCCCATTGGCCCCAGATCATGTAGAATTTGAATCAATAAGACCCTGCACGAAGGCTAGGTTGGAGAAGGGACAGACTGAATTCAGGAAGAAAGGTTAGGAAATTATTACAATAATCTGGATGGGGAGGGGTGAAGGCCTAGACTATG